CATACAATGAAACAAGAAAAGGTAAAAAAATAACAAGACAGAGCAATGTAATACAATAATACACTACTAGACATTATTGTAAAAAAATAAAATTAAAGTCCATCCCATGTCTTCGTGCATTTTTGTATATTTTAGGCAGGAAATTCGTTTTCAAATTTAGATTTTTTTTCTGGGTGGGGGGAGGGGGGGGTGGAACACCCCCAGACTCCCTGGAAGATTTTGTCCCTCCCCCCCCCCCCCCCCCCCCCCCCACCAATGTTGACTTCACTGCTACGGTCTTGCCGTGCGGTGTTGTATTGGACCACCTCCGTGTGCACCCGGACGCAGAGTCGAGTGTAGCGAGAGGCGAGACCCGGCCGGGGACAGACTCCCACGATGCAATTTGTGAACGCAGCAGTCCGAAAGAAAAAATTCCCGCGACGCCAATTGTGCATCCTCCACGCGATTCGGTGACACGCGTCATTTTATTTTGCGTCTGACAGTGCCCGGCGTAGTCGTGGCTTGTACAATCGATGCACGACAAGCACCCGCACCACCACCCATGCACGTCTGTATTATGTACAAGACTTGTGTCAGAAACGCAACAAATTGCATTGTACACGTTATAATTCACGATAAAAAAGATTAACCGTCCGTATAATTCTCACGTAAATTACATACCCAAAGATGCACGCACACGTACACAAATACGCGCCCCCATACGTACACTCACATACACGTGAGCATGCATACACAAAAACACGAGTTTGCACATATTCTTGGTTCTTTCGGTAAAGTTCACGTAGAAGGGAAATATTAAAATAATAATTTAAAAAAAACTATAAAGATAGAGTGACTCGTCCGTCTGAACAACCGCTAGTTGCTGTCCGTGGTGCTACCGTTTAAAAAAAAAACTACACTTTTTTCAAATTTTCTTGCTGTGGTTTTCACACATGATGATGATTGCTTGTGTTGCAATCGAAACGTCGTGAGAATTTTATTGTTTTATATTTTTATTATTTTATTGTTTCCCTTCTACGTGACTTTACCGAAAGAACCAAGAATATGAATCCCTGTAGTCACGAAAGCTTTAAATCGAAGCTTGCACATACACAAACAAAGACAAAGATCCTTCGTGTAGCCTTCGCTGACTGTAGGGGCAAGTGCTGTTAGCGAGCACCTATGAAGGCCGGAACGGCGCACTAGGGGGTGGGTGGCCAGCACCACGTCCGGCCGCCTTTGTCTCCCCAGTGGCGATGTTTACTACACACCGCACCAGGTACTCATTTGAGGCTGATTCGACCTGACCACACGCTCACATACCCATAAAAAAATTACGCACATGCACATACGCACGCATACATATACAAAACACACACACATGAACATGAACATGCATATTAGCCGACCCACGAGCACAGTACATAAAAACACACAAAAGACACACACACACGCACAATTACATTTACATACATACACGGACACACCCACACGCACGTACAATCACATTTCCACACATACACGGGCACAAACACACTATCACATTTACACACATACACGGGCACACACACGACACAAATATCCTTAGCATAGCCTTATAGAGTGGTGTAAGCGTTGTTAGCGAGCACCTATTAGGCCAGAAATATCGCACGGTAGGTGGTGTTGCCAGGACCACACCCGGCCCCCTTTGTCTTCCCGAGGCTGAGTTATCGCTTCAGATACCACTCGGCCGGGAACCGTTCTCTGCGCAATGCGCTAACCGCTGCGCCACCGCTCCCAACACATACGAAGACAAAGATCCCCCGTGTAGCCTTAACAGACTGTTGGGGGCAAGTGCCGTTAGCGAGTAGCACCTATGAAGGCTACACGACCGAGCGCGCGCACACACACACACATAGCTTACACACCAATTGCGAGTTAAAAGCGAGAACATCTGTACGGGCAAATCTATATATATAGATCTAATATCTCTGTCATTTGGTTAGATGCGTACACCTACACGAGTAACACATTCGCTACGGGGTTTTCACGTAAGTTAGAGGCCAATTCAGCCACCACAACCGCCACCATCACCACAACCACCATCCACACAACCACCATCATCACAACCACCACCACCACAACAACCCATTAACAATGTATACATCGTAAACCAACACCCATATTTCGTACTTTTTTATAGCAAATCTCAACTTGCTGAGCAAGGGCCCTAAAGATCAAAAAACTTCAAGCGGTCAGTAACAATCAGCACCGTTGGATTTCTAAAATAGAAGACTTAATAACTCAGGAGAGTGCAATGTAAGCTCAGCAAGAGTACCTGGCCAGCACTACCGGAATTAATTGAACAATGCAAGGCGAATTTAACGATGCTAAATGAATCACACAATGTAGAACACACGAGAAAATGCACAACTGATTAGGTAACACACAATTAACAAAGATAACACGTTAGACAATACACAATTAATACAGATAACACGTTAGACAATACACAATTAATACAGATAACACGTTAGACAATACACAATTAATACAGATAACACGTTAGACAATACACAATTAATACAGATAGCACGTTAGACAATACACAATAAATACAGATAACACGTTAGACAATACACAATTAATACAGATAACACGTTAGACAATACACAATTAATACAGATAACACGTTAGACAATACACAATTAATCAATATAACACGTTAGACAATACACAATTAATAAAGATAACACATTAGATAATACACAATTAATAAAGATAACACGTTAGACAATACACAATTAATAAAGATAACACGTTAGACAATACACAATTAATACAGATAACACGTTAGACAATACACAATTAATACAGATTACACGTTAGACAATACACAATTAATAAAGATAACACGTTGGATAATACACAATTAATACAGATAACACGTTAGACAATACACAATTAATACAGATAACACGTTAGACAATACACAATTAATAAAGATAACACGTTAGACAATACACAATTAATAAAGATAACACGTTAGACAATACACAATTAATACAGATAACACGTTCCGACCTTCATACAGTAGGTGCTCGCTAACAGCACTTGCCCCAACAGTCTGTTACAGGCTACACGGGGGATCTTTGTCTTTCTATCTACTCAAAGGGGCGAAGTTGAGGGGTCCTAGAGTGGTTCTGGCTGATGTAGAAGATGCAGAGTAGCGACTGCCTTGACACACCAGCCTCGCCACACAAAGACAAAGATCATCCCCCTTCGTGTAGCCTTAACAGACTGTTGGGGCAAGTGCTGTTAGCGAGTAGCACCTGTGAAGGCCGGCACGGCACACGAGGGGGTGGGTGCCCAGTGACGATGTTTACACATCGCACCGTGCTTCGGAGGAGACGGAACGAACGGTCGCTTTTTGGACTTCGATAACGACTTTTACGACAGTTTTCGCTGCGCTGTTGTGTTGTTGTCGTTGTTGTTGTTTTACTACCAGTATCCGGACGTTACCAACAACGACAACGAGATAGCAGGCACCGCGATCACGGATGCTGTGGACGTGCGAGCGGTGTGGTCGGGAAAACACACACATACATACATCAGACACACACAGAGACACACACAAAAACACACAGACACACATCAGACACACACATACAGAGACACACACAGAAACACACACACACACCAGGCACACACAGAGACACACACAGAAACACACAGACACACATCAGACACACACACAGACACACACACACACCAGACACACACAGAAACACACACACATCAGACACACACAAACACACACACACATCAGACACACACAGAGACACACCCACCAAACGAGTTTGTATCCCCAGTGCTGATGTTTATGCCAGCTTGTAGCAGCAGCAGTAGCAGCAGTAGTAGCAGCAGCAATAGCAGTAGCAGCAGCAGTAGCAGCAGTAGTAGCAGTAGTAGTAGCAGCAACAGTAGTAGCAGCAGTAGCAGCAGTAGCAGCAGCAGGTATTAATTTAAGGCCGAGTCTACCTAGATGAGCCCCCGGGACGAGTTCTGATACCGCTTACCTCTGTGTATGATCCATTATTTTCGTCTCCCCCCTCCTCTTTTCGAAACTTAGATGGACTCGTCCACCTGAATAACTGCCAAATCGCTCTCCGTGGTGCTAACGTTAATAAAATACGCCAGTTTTTTCAAATGTTCTTGCTGTGGTTTTCACACCTCATCATGATTGCTTGTGTTGCAGTCGAAACGTCGTGAGAATTTTATTGTTTTATATTTTAATTATTTTAATATTTCCCTTCTACGAGACTTTACCGAATGAACCAAGAATATGAATCCCTGCAGTCACGAAAGCTTTAAATCAAAATGTTAAAGTCACGTAAGTTAGAAAAAATAAAAATTGATCACGACGTTTCGATCGCCACACAAGCAATCGTCTTCAGGTGGGAAAACGATTAGCCTGTGTGGCCATCGAAACGTCGTGATTTATAATTATTGTTTCTACCCACGTGGCTTTACCGAAAGAACCAGAGAGGGTATGGATTCCTTGCAGTCACGAAAGCTTCAAATCTGTGCTCAATGTTCACCGTTCCGGGAGGGATTCAACACACATGTGCACACTGACAAATACATAGCAACACGCGTACACACCACCAGCATAGACATTCACACACGTGCCCGCGTACACACGATTGCAAAGACAAAGATCCCACTTTGACTGTAGGGGGCAAGTGCTGTTAGCGAGCAGCACCTACGAAGGCCGAGCGGGAGGGGTGGCTACCAGCACCACGCTCAGCCGCCTTTGTCTCCCCCACTGGCGATGTTCACTACGCACAGCGCACCAGATAGGCATTTGAGACTGAGTCGACCTAGGGGAGACCCACGACCGATTCAGTTAATCGTCACTTGGTGCTGGTGGCCGCGAGCGGGACTCGAACTCGGGTGGCCTGGTTCGAAGCGCAACGCGGTAGCCGCTGTCCCACCCACCCCCACCACCACCACGCGCACAGACGCGCACGCAACAACAACAACAGCAACAACAACAACAACCGACTTGCAAGCAACGGCAACGTCACCCACAGGTCCGGTGCCAGGCTAGGTGCTAGCAGGAGATCACGGGGAACACACCACCACCACCACCACCTCCACCACCCCCCCATCGGTGGTTTCGGGTCGACTAACCACGCGCACGAACAACAACAACAACAACAACAAAGACAATCTTGATTTGACACATAGACACATTGCCGCCCAACTTATACATTATAATATATCACAAAACGCACGGCGCGCGCACGTTCCGACGCAGACGCCCTTCACACGTTCACCCACGGTCACAATGTACACCCCACAGCGCAACCACTTGCCCAGTAACAGCTGGGGCCAGCGTCGGCGCGTGTTTTCGAACGTTGGCCCAACGTTGGCGGGCACGACGTCGGGCCAACGTTGGGAGGCCAACGTTGCGCCAACGTCCCGCGTGGACTGGGCGTGGGGCCACCGATGCCTCACTGCAGGGGGACCCCTCCCGATAAGAGGCTGCTGCTGCTCACGACGTTCGTGCCGCTGCTGAGAGGCGGCATGCCCGACGAGATCTCTGGGGAGGCTGACGAGACGCGCGACTGCTGCTGCTGCTGTTGCTGCTGCTGCTGCAATTTCTTATTCACTTTCCGTTCCTTCGCTCGTCGGTTCTGGAACCAGATCTTCACCTGCGTCGGGCACATCACGCAGACGCGCACGCGTGTGTGTTAGCCGCTGTGTGTGTTAGCCTCTGTGTGTGTTAGCCTCTGTGTGTGTTAGCCTCTGTGTGTGTTAGCCTCTGTGTGTGTTAGCCTCTGTGTGTGTTAGCCTCTGTGTGTGTTAGCCTCGGTGTGTGTTAGCCTCTGTGTGTGTTAGCCTCTGTGTGTGTTAGCCTCTGTGTGTTAGCCTCTGTGTGTGTTAGCATCTGTGTGTGTTAGCCTCTGTGTGTGTTAGCCTCTGTGTGTGTTAGCCTCTGTGTGTGTTAGCCTCTGTGTGTGTTAGCCTCTGTGTGTTAGCCTCTGTGTGTTAGCCTCTGTGTGTGTTAGCCTCTGTGTGTGTTAGCCTCTGTGTGTGTTAGCCTCTGTGTGTGTTAGCCTCTGTGTGTTAGCCTCTGTGTGTGTTAGCATCTGTGTGTGTTAGCCTCTGTGTGTTAGCCTCTGTGTGTGTTAGCCTCTGTGTGTGTTAGCCGCTGTGTGTGTTAGCCTCTGTGTGTGTTAGCCTCTGTGTGTGTTAGCCGCTGTGTGTGTTAGCCTCTGTGTGTGTTAGCCTCTGTGTGTGTTAGCCTCTGTGTGTGTTAGCCTCTGTGTGTGTTAGCCTCTGTGTGTGTTAGCCGCTGTGTGTGTTAGCCTCTGTGTGTGTTAGCCTCTGTGTGTGTTAGCCTCTGTGTGTGTTAGCCGCTGTGTGTGTTAGCCGCTGTGTGTGTTAGCCTCTGTGTGTGTTAGCCTCTGTGTGTGTTAGCCTCTGTGTGTGCGCGCGCGCGCATGCAGAGGCGCGTGTCAGTGTGCGTGTCAGTGTGTGTGTCAGTGTGCGTGTCAGTGTGTGTGTCAGTGTGTGCGTCAGTGTGTGTGTCAGTGTGTGTGTAAGTGTGCGCGAGGGAGGGAGGGAGGGCCAGCGAGTCCCCCGTGGGGGTCACCGTCACCTGTCTCTCGGAGAGGCCCAGGTGCGACGCGAGCTCCGACTTGCGCCTGATCGTGATGAATCGATTCGCCTGGAACTCCTTCTCCAGCTCCAGCCTCTGGTAGTCCGAGTACACCACGCGGTACTTGTCCTTGGTACGCGTTTTGCCTGCGACGGGGAACGACGGGTTGTGGTGATGGGGGGTGGGGGTGGGTGGGGGGAGGTGATTAATTTAAAATCAGGGATTTTTTTTTTCCGGGGAAAATTGTCCGGGTTTTCTGCGTCCTTCAAACTCCCAACCTACCGGGCTCTCCCCCCCCCCCGCCCCCTTCCCTGCCCCCACTTGGGGGGGGGGGGGCACGGAAATATTTTCCGAAGCTCAGCCATGAGCAGCTCCAGCTGAAATTAAATCCCGATTTTTTTTGTTTTTTAACCACCAAATCAAACCTAAATGTACGTGATAAAGTTACGCCGAATATCCGATGAGTGTGCCGGTTGTGTCGCGTGTTGTTCGGCGAAATGTCCGACGTTTCGCTCCACCTTCCCCGGGCGAGGGCTTGAACGCCGTGCCAACCATCGCGCGCGTCGCTCCGAATGCACAACAGCAGGGGAGAGCCGCGAGATAAATACCTTGAATAACGATAACAAGTTCTGATTTCTGCACGAACCGCGACTACCCCAACTCAGGAGTGGCGTTGCGCTGTAACGCTGGAGCGACTCACATCTGCACCGAGGCTCTCACGATGAGCTGCGGTCCGAATCCGCAGCCACGTATGGGACAAGTTTGTCGAGGTTGCATGTAGGCGCACATCCGAATGCACACGAGGACAAGGGAGACACACGCCTTCGACAGAGATTATCATAGAGATGCACAATTGACTGTGTGTGTCTGTGTGGGGTGGGGGGTGTCAGTCAGATCGATCGCGTGATTTAAAGTGTGCTGTCCTAGTTGACTTACTTCAACAACACTCACAATTCGAGTTCACGATATAACAAACCTCACGAAATTTTTCGTGCCGGGTGGAGGTGGATTTTACGACACATTTACGCGATCTAACACCAAAAATCCCCCCCCTCCCCACCGATATTACGACTAATATCGCTTCATTATGAACAAGCCTCGCGTGCTGAATTGGCTCGTGTGGTTGTTGACGGTGTGACCGTGAACCGTTGCCCAACGTAGCGTGGCACCACAACGTTCCGTGAACGTTGGGACAGGACGGTGGAGGCTGCCTGCGGGGCAGACGCGCTCGCCTTGCGAAAGTTCTAGAGCGCTCGCTTCGGCAGCACCGACGTTCGTTGTTGTTGTTGTCGAGGACCGAGCTCACACCACGTCTAACAACTGGGGGTGTCCGTGTGCTGAACTTCTTTCGTACCGTACGTCGCCAACCGTGCGACGTTGCGCCGATATACAGCCGCGCCCAACGTCATCAGACCCATAGACTCATCACACAGAAACTCATAGACTCAGGAGACCCACAGACTCACACATAGACCCATATACTCATCACACAGAAACTCATAGACTCACACAGAAACCCACAGACTCAGAAAGAGACCCACAGACTCACACATAGACCCATAGACTCATCACACAGAAACCCACAGACTCACACAGAAACCCACAGACTCAGAAAGAGACCCACAGACTCACACATAGACCCATAGACTCATCACACAGAAACCCACAGACTCACACAGAAACCCACAGACTCAGAAAGAGACCCAGAGACTCACACATAGACCCATAGACTCATCACACAGAAACTCATACTCACACATAGACACATAGACTCATCACACAGAAACTCACAGACTCACACAGAAACCCACAGACTCAGGAGACCCACAGACTCACACATAGACACATAGACTCATCACACAGAAACTCATAGACTCACACAGAAACCCACAGACTCAGAAGAGACCCACAGACTCACACATAGACCCATAGACTCATCACACAGAAACTCATAGACTCACACAGACACCCACAGACTCAGAAAGAGACCCACAGACTCACACATAGACCCATAGACTCATCACACAGAAACTAATAGACTCATACAGAAACCCACAGACTCAGAAAGAGACCCACAGACTCACACATAGACCCATAGACTCATCACACAGAAACCCACAGACTCACACAGAAACCCACAGACTCAGGAAACCCACAGACTCACACATAGACCCATAGACTCATCACACAGAAACTCATAGACTCACACAGAAACCCACAGACTCAGAAAGAGACCCACAGACTCACACATAGACCCATAGACTCATCACACAGAAACCCACAAACTCACACAGAAACCCACAGACTCAGAAAGAGACCCAGAGACTCACACATAGACCCATAGACTCATCAAACAGAAACTCATAGACTCACACAGAAACCCACAGACTCAGAAAGAGACCCACAGACTCACACATAGACCCATAGACTCATCACACAGAAACCCACAGACTCACACAGAAACCCACAGACTCAGAAAGAGACCCAGAGACTCACACATAGACCCATAGACTCATCAAACAGAAACTCATAGACTCACACAGAAACCCACAGACTCAGAAAGAGACCCACAGACTCACACATAGACCCATAGACTCATCATACAGAGGCCCACAGACTCACACAGAAACCCACAGACTCACACAGAAACCCACAGACTCAGAAAGAGACCCACAGACTCACACATAGACCCATAGACTCATCACACAGAAACTAATAGACTCATACAGAAACCCACAGACTCAGAAAGAGACCGACAGACTCACACATAGACCCATAGACTCATCACACAGAAACCCACAGACTCACACAGAAACCCACAGACTCAGGAAACCCACAGACTCACACATAGACCCATAGACTCATCACACAGAAACTCATAGACTCACACAGAAACCCACAGACTCAGAAAGAGACCCACAGACTCACACATAGACCCATAGACTCATCACACAGAAACCCACAAACTCACACAGAAACCCACAGACTCAGAAAGAGACCCAGAGACTCACACATAGACCCATAGACTCATCAAACAGAAACTCATAGACTCACACAGAAACCCACAGACTCAGAAAGAGACCCACAGACTCACACATAGACCCATAGACTCATCATACAGAGGCCCACAGACTCACACAGAAACCCACAGACTCACACAGAAACCCACAGACTCAGAAAGAGACCCACAGACTCACACAGTGACCCATCGACTCACTCCACCGAGACCCACAGACTCACACATAGACCCATAGAATCACTCCACCGAGACCTATGGACTCACCAAAGAGATCCATCGACTCGCACAGAGACCCTGATGGAGGCCACGCGTTGCGTTCGCACGCGGAGGAGAGGCGATCTTGGGTTTAACAACAACAAACATGTCACGAGACGCAAACAGCGCAAGTGTGAAAACTATTTTTTTAAAATGCCACAATTAAAGGGGACTGTGTTCGTGCGTTCGATTGTCGCTCGGTCTGACGGTCCTGGTGAGGGTCATGGCCGGCAGCGACGTGCGTAGGGCAGTCAAGACCTTCCCTGGCGGCAGACTCCAGCACTACGATACACTATACACCACTACTATACACTACTATCCACTACTATATACTAATATACACTATATACTAATATACACTACTATATACTACACTACTATACACTATACACTACTATATACTACACTACTATACACCATATACTGATATACGTTACTAAACACTACACTACTATACACTACTATACACTATACACTACTATACACTACTATACACTATACACTACTATACACTACACTACTATACACTATATACAAATATACAATACAACACACTACACTTCTATACACTACTATACACTATACAATACTATATACTACACTACTATACACTATATACAAATATACAATACAACACACTACACTTCTATACACTACTATACACTACTATACACTTCTATACAGTATATACTAATATACATTACTACACACTACACTACTACACACTACTATACACTACTATACACTACCATACACTACACTACTATACACTATAAACTAATATACATTACTACACACTACACTACTATACACTACTATACACTATACACTGCTATACACTAATATACACTACACTACTATACAGTATATACTAATATACATTACTACACACTACACTTCTATACACTACTATACACTACACATTACTATATACTACTATACACTACACTACTATACACTACACTACTATACACTATACACTACTATACACTACACTACTATAGACTATATACTAATATACATTACTACCCACTACACTACTATACACTATATACTAATATACATTACTACACACTACCCTACTATACACTACGATACACTATACACTACCAAACACTACTATATACTACACTACTATACACTATATACTAATATACATTACTACACACTACACTACTATACACTACCATACACTATACAATACAATACACTATATACTAATATGCATTACTACACACTACACTACTATACACTACCATACACTACACTACTATACACTATATACTAATATAAATTACTACACACTACACTACTATACACTACGATACACTATACACTACTATACACTACACTACTATACACTATATACTAATATAACATTACTACACACTACACTACTATACACTACTATACACTATACACTACCATACACTAATATATACTACACTACTATACACTATATACTAATATACATTACTACACACTATACTACTATACACTACTACACACTACACTACTATACACTATATACTAATATACATTACTACACACTACACTACTATACACTACTATACACTATACACTACCATACACTACTATATACTACACTACTATACACTATATACTAATATACATTACTACACACTACACTACTATACACTACTACACACTACACTACTACACACTACGATACACTACTATACACTACTATACACTACACTACAATACACTATATACTAATATACATTACTACACACTATACTTCTATACACTACTATACACTACACTACTATACACTGCTATACACTACACTACTATACACTATACACTACCCTACTACACACTACGATACACTATACACTACCATAGACT